GCTGATGCTAAACTGAATTGCTGGTTTAAATTTATTGGGAAAACAGAGTATAAATTATGGCTAGAATGAAACCCGCTAAAAAGTAATAATATTACTAATAATAAAGCTGAGGGGAGCTTTAATCTTAACATTGCTGATATGAAAATATGCTTGTTTTTACTGTCTAAAACTTTAGTTTTCCTTTTAGTCCAGCTTTTGTGACCTGAAAATTCAGGCTCCAATCATCCATAATCAAGTCAAGGTAAATCCTTATCTCTTTATAAATAACAAAGAACCTAGATCCCTAAGCTACTTTGCTTCTAAAAATCACTTAAAATCTTAATAGTTCCAAACTGCTTTCCTTTGAACAAGTATTTTTACGACACCTTAATTAGCAGAAAACAACAGTGTTTGGAAAAACTGGATATTGGTGCACTCATCCAATATTATTGGACTCCATCCACTTGAGGCTACCATGTTCCTTCTGTTCTGCTTTGTTTTTTTTGTCCTTTTTAACAACCCCAAGGGTATTACTTAACTTAAAGTTAATTGTGGTTTGCCCACAGAGGTGAAGATGGGAATAGAGAGATTATTCCAAAACAGAAAGTGTTTTCTGATGTTTTCAGTCAGACTCATGTTTCTTCATTTTCTTCATGCTCTCGTTCCAGGATGAAAATGCGGCGGCACAGGGTGTTCTTGCTGTGCACGGTGGGCCTGTGCGTCATCTCCTTCCTCCACTACTACAAGGCCCTCCACTACGTCTCCCTCCTGCGTGAGCTCTCCGCCCCGTACCCCAACATCAAATCCTTTATCATGGTCACCGGATTTTTCTGGAGGGAGAAAGGAGTGGCCACCACCCCACTCAGCCCCGCCTCCCCTGAAGAGGCCCCTCCTCTACCTGTTCTCCGTCAGTCAGACAGCAAAGCTAGAGCCGTGGCGGGTGCTATGGGAGGAGAAGGAGGGTTGAATCTGGGGATTGGGGGGGTTGCGGTTGGAGGCCTTGGAATCGTTGGCAGCGCAGGGCTGGAGATGAAGTTGAGGGAGGAGCCAGCGCCCCCTCACCCTTGGGAGAAACCAGAGGAAAACCAGC